CCTTTAAGGCTAGCTTTATAACCTATAATAAAGTACTTAACTGTTACGAACGTCACTGCACGAGACGCGGGAAGCTGGGCCGCACTAGTAAGGGTAGGCATAGCTGCTAACTAACAAGGATATTAAGTCACGTGATAGCTTATTAGATTATATAGATAATTTAAGTGTCTTATGTAGTGTCGTTCGTAACAATTATCTTCTTATAAGCTCTTTTCTATATTACGCCTTAGTAGGGTTTATATTTATTAGAGCGATTTTAGTATTTAAATATAAGGTCTTATAAACCTTTATAGCTCTAAGAACTCTATTACCTTCGTAAACGTCTATTACGTGGGTAACTTAAACTCCTATACCCTCGATTTTAACCTTTCTACCCTCTTATAGGTATACTAGACATAGGATTAGCTCGTTAAATAGCTTATTATAAGTGTTTAGGTAGTAAGAGAACCCTCTTTATTTACATTATTAGTCGTATAAAAGATAAAGAATATCCGGTAAAGACTTTAAGTTTAGGGTATAAACTACACTATAGACTCTTTAAATATAGCTACTTTAGGTATAGAGATTCGCCTTAATTACTATATCTTTAAGGTTTATTCGCTTACACTTAGGGTATAAGAACTAGGCCTTAAAGATATGTATATATAAATAGTAAATATATCTTATAAGCGCTAACGTGTTAAAGAAGGTTTTATAGTTAAAGAGATATTACGTAGGTTCCTTTAATTTCTTTCTAAAAGAATAAATATCTCTAATCTCGCTTTACCTACTTACTTCGCTTATATAAGTAATAAGACGGTTAACTAGGCCGAAAGTAATATTTATTTAGAATAAAAGATTAGCTAGATTAGTAGTATAAGCACTACTATTCCTAAATCTCTTTCTTTTTAAATTTTACACCTTTTATTTAAGATATACTATTAATTGGTTTATTACTTATAACTTATTTACTTTCTTAAAGTACTTATAGCGCTTTTCTTAAACTTATAGCTTCTTTAAGTAATTTAAAATATATTTAATTCGCGATAAGACTTTCTTTACTTCTTAACTAAATAACCCTTCTTAGGCTATAATATATTTTAGCTTCTTATAAAGCTCTATTATATCTTTTCTTAATTTAAATTAATTAAGTTCTTTTTTAAATAAACGTATAGGCGCGTTTAGGTTCTAATTATAAAAGCTATTAGAGATAGCTTTTTAAAGCGCTACGTTATATCTTACCTTATTACTAAATACGATATTCGCTTAGTTCACACGTATTTTAACTTACTAATAACTCCGCTTAAAGACCTCTATAAAATAAGATACTATAAAGTTTTAAAGTGCTAGTTAAAGATATCCTATAAATAAATAGTTAAAGGCAAGAAGGCGTTCTAATATAAAGGTAACTTACCATCTAATCTACCTACCACGCTAATACAAACTAAGTAGGGACGGAGGCTAGATTAGAATTCTAATACTATTCTTACTTTATTTTAAAGATTAAGAAATCTACGATAATTTATTAGTATAATATACTTATTATTACCTATAAACTTCTCTTTCTAATATAACTCTACGAAGTTAACGCTCTCCTTAAGTGTTCTAGGGTTAAGTACTTTATTATAAGTTATAAAGCTAGCCTTAAAGGTATTATCTCTTATTACTTAAACTATAAATATAATAGTTAAGTATAAGCTTAACGTTAGAACCACGAAGAGTATATAGCTTAAGCTATATAGTATAAACGCCGTATATTAGCTTATCTTTTCTCTTACAAGTAATAGATTAAATTATAGGGGCTATATACCTTAAACGCTATTCTCGCTTAATTTTAAGCTATTAAAGCTTATTATAATTAACCTTAAAGTAGCATATAATTCGCGTAATAGACGAGTTAACCGGATCTTTAACCTACGCGAGTATTACGTAATTATACTTCTTTATTTTTAACGCGCTTAATCGCTAACCTTTTAGGCCTATTTTAATAACGTATATAGTAAAAGAGAGTCTATTATTAGGTGAACACCTAATATTATTTGCTTTCTTTTATATAATAGAAAGAATAGTTAAAATATCGTTTATAATCGCGCTATCTTTTTAAAAAGTTTACCTTAAGTTTAATCCTACTTTTATACTAAACTCGAGAATCTATTATAATTATTAATAATTAAAGAAGCCTATTATAAATAATAAGAAAAGGGGCTAAAAACTCATATAAGCTATCTTATAAGTAAAGCTATAGGTTAATAAAGTCCTTCTAGAAGTATACTTTAACGACTAGATTCTAGTATTCTCGTAATCTTAGAGCCTTTTTAGTTTTATAATTCAATTATTCGCATAATTAACTAGTAAACACTATATATCTTTTATTATTAACGTGTAATTAATAGTATATACTTTCTCGTATTTCTTAGAGCTAAGGCAAGAACGCTACGTAATAAACTACTCCTAGTACTATCTAAGAAATCCTTAAAAGAATACTTGAACTTTTAGTTTACCTAGGTAAAGGTTAAACTATATATTAACCGAATTAACTTTAGTATAAGCGGTAAATCTATAAGAAATAAAATTAATAATAGCTTCTTCCCTAAAAATTAAAGAGAAGAGGTGAATACCTTACTCTTTCTAGTTCTATTAGATCCTCTCGCGACGCTACCTCGTTTTTAGGTTAAGGCGGTAAACCTTACTTAGCGGCTTCTCCTAATACTTTTACACCGCTACCTTAGCAGTATCTTTGTTAAATTAACGCACACTTAGGCGGGTAAAGCGAAGCGAAGATTTCGTATCTTAGGGTATAATAATAAAGTAAGCGAAGACAGCTTTAGTAGCAGTACACGTGAATAAGAAAAGGGGGCAGGGGGCAAAGGACTAAATGTCATAAACGCCAAAACCATTAAGGATAAATAAAAGGGGGAGAAGGGGCATTTTATCTAGTTAGCACATTACTTGAATTCAATTAGGCTAACAGGGCCCCTGCAGTACACGTAAGCATTCTCAAGTGGGATTTCACGGGCTAACTAACACGGCACATTAACGCTAAGGCGGACTAACATGGACCTGCGACTAGATTAATGTAAAAAAAGACTTATTAATAAAACCAGGGGGAGAAAAGGGGGTGGCAGCGTCTAGCGCCTCCCCTAAGCCTAGCGAGGATTTCATGCGAAGGCTAGGGTTAAAAACAGGCAACATGAGGGTGTGTATTACTACGCGGCGTGCGGTCTCGTCCCTCGCCCAGCGCTTTAGTATTAGAGTGGAAAGCTGGGATAAAGAGCTAAAACGGTAGCAGGATAGGGAAACAGAGAGAACGGGAAAAGCGGGTTTAAGCGGGCGTTTCGGGTAAAGGTTAGGTAAGTTTACATTTCGGACGCGGTATCCCGTCCGATCTCGTACGATAACCTAGCGAGCGCCGGATTAGTAGTTGGGTCGGTAACGACCAGCGAATACCCGGTATTGTATGTTTCTTTTTGCCTCTCACGTGCATATCAATATACTGATACTTCCTCGTTGGGCTTCTTGCTGATGATACACGTATTAATTAGCAAAAACCGCTTATTATGGTTTGAATCTCTTGAGGTTTTACGTTAAACCTGTGAGACTTGTGATTCCGCTCTCTCGCCTGTGGGCAGTACTATCGGCTGCGAATATTGGGGAAGGAGATGCGTTGTCAACAGGCGACATGGTGTCATCATGAATTATTGGCTCCGACATGAGCAATAGACCGGAATATGTAGAAAAGACGCGCCATTGCCGCAATTCGTCGATGTCTACAATAACTATACCCGCCTTGACTTCGACTCGTGATATTTAGACAGCTCTGCTAATCGCACCGGCAGCACACGATCTTGTCGATTTGTATTATGTACTGTGGATATTAGACTTCGCCATCTGAAAATTGACCATAGTTTTAAATAGCTAGGCATGAATTATCGAACCTCCCTTCTGGTGCAGGCCAAAACCCTCTAAGATGCCATGCCCAGCGCGTCTATCTGGGCTGATCGCTATGGGCGAAAAATTATAGGTTAATATTCGCAGTTCGAAAAATTCTGGTAATAAAGGTATCGTTTCTAAACTACTATAGGGTTCCAGTGCCCGGTATGCAGCAGCCATGGAATGCGGCTTGTCTACCCCGTGGTACTAAGAACTCATCACCCAAGCTGGCTACCTACTATCAGATTAATGTACTTGGCACCGATCAATCTACAGCGTGATATCATTTTTTCCTGGCCAGTCAATTCACTCAAAACAACAGAAGAGAGGAAAATAATAGAGACATACAGAAGCTACTAGTCCTATAGCATCCTAGCACCCTGTTTGTGAAACCGGTTATCGCATCAGAGCGATCGGCAACAAGGTACATATCGCCGTGCTCAGAACTGGTAGCGTGATGTGCTATGTGAATATTCAAGATTCGACGAGTGCTCACCCGGAACCTGTCCCAGGGAGACGTGGCTTCTCAGAGCATGGCCGGTCTCTCCTGAACTACCCCGACAAAAATGCAAAACCTCACTTTCCCCTCCTTCTCTTCCCGCCTCCCCTACCCTTCTTCAAGCTTCATATCATCCTTTACTACCTTATTATACTCTAGATATCCGGGCAAACGGTCCATCATATACGATTTGATCCCGATTTTGAGGCCACCATAAATAGTGGAAAAAGCGTTCCTTTCCTCTCCCTGGGTAGGAATTCTCCTGTGTTTAATCAGTCTGGGAGATACTAAGTGTTGAAATAGATGGAGGATGTGTGGGCGGCCCGCTCATGCTTACAATTCTCAAATACCTTGTTAAAGCACTAATGCACGGAGATGACCTAAGCAAGCCTTGGGATTTCTTCCACATTATCACGAAAAAGAACGCGTTCTAAATGAATAGCAATTATAGTTACCCTTATATTCCGTTGACACGTATCATCAGAAGAATTAGCATGGACCCTCCGAAATGAGATATCCCATCTGTCAGTACTCTTTGACAAGCGCTTGATCGGGCAAGGACAGTATGTGTATTACAAAGAGGAGATGCAACATGCTAACATCAACAGCACCGAGTCCACGGACTCCCGATGGCTACGTCATTGCAACCCCAGCCTTCTCTGCTGCTGTGGCGACACCTGGGCCGGGCCTCACGCCAGTCACCAATTCAGACGACCTAGACGATGCTCATGGTATGGTCAGCATTGAGGCCATTGAACATGCCGATGAAACCTACGACAGACAAAGGCACAGACAAAGGCACGGCCCAGATTGATCTTCAATAGATGACAATGATCGTTGAAACGGTTGAAAGCTGTGGCGCCTTTATCAAGGCACGGGTTTCCAGCGGCTGGAGAGTTTCTGGGCCAGAGGTCCTTGACATGTATGAATCTATGGCAGAAGACATATGAACCGCTGTTCAATCGCCTAGAGAGCACACTAACTTAGCCAAAACAACACCGTCCGCAACCGGCTTCGATATTCTTCTGTCAACTTACCAAAACGATGCTGAATCTGTTCAAGCTGTCATGGCTACGTCCAACACCGCCGAGTACGAGGATGTCTTTCGCGCAGCGTTATTCTTGGAAGCTGGAAAGGGCATTTTAAACCTCGTCGAGATTCTCTTTGACTTGTTTGCGGAAGACCCCAAGGACAATGATGGACAGACATGCCTACACATTGCCAGCATTCACAATCAGCCACATGTTGTTGACTTTCTGCTCGGACGAGGAGTAGACGTCAACGTGAGACGGCAAGACGGCCGAACGCCATGGACTGTGATTGGTAGTTCTCCTAGCCACGAGGCCATATCCAATCTTCTTATTCAGGCGGGGGCCCGAGTCAATGATACGAGGCCAACTGATGAAATGAATTGTCTTTACCAAGCTGCGGCGTCCAAACATTCATCCGAAAAGGAGCTGATCCATCATACCGAACGCCTTTTCTCTGGGCGGCACTAGTAAGTCGATGAGACCCAGCGTTATGACATTTTAATTCTGTGTTCAGAGCTGATTCATCGGAGCATTTTGCGGCTACCCTAGAAACTGTGCAAGCCCTTGTCGAGGCTGGTGCGGATATAAATGCTCTTTCAGACACGCGCCAAACGCCCCTCGACATGCACTTTAGACACCATGTTACGGGGGACTACGTCGTGGCTCATGGCGCGATGACCTCACGGGAGTCGGCTCGGGCAAAGGTCTCACGATACATGGACGTAGATGAAGACGGCGACACCCATACCACAGCTTCGTTCGGCGGTGCTTTTCAGCAAAGTTTTTGGTCATCAGGGCAGCCCGTATAGCTGCTCACTGAGACTGTAATTAGCGTACCTACTTGACCACTGCTGCATGTAGATTTATGAAAGTACATATCCCTAAAAGTTTTGAAAGCTCTCTATGCGTTTCCGGGTCGAGACAGAGGCCCTAACCTCACTTACTTGAATTGGTGTATGAGGGGGACTACAGGTGACGTGATTCGATATCTCCTTCCCCTCCGTCCATGAGCCACCAGACGGCTATTAAAAGGTCTGGACCTTGACAAGCTAGTCTCATGCGATGCTCTCCACGACTACTACGGGCTATTTGGCGTTATTCTTGCCAGCAGACTCATGACTCTGCATTAAGCACTGATAACCGGGTTCGTAATCGCGCCAAATAACACCAAAGCCCTCGATGTCTCGGCGCCAGGCTCTATGAAGTTCTGCGGCAACAGCTGCCCAATTGGGTAACTGGCAGCCAGACGGAACTAACTAGTTCTTTACACAATAGTTAAAGTAATTTCGTCCGCTATACATGTAGACGCAAGATAGAATAATATTTGTAAGAATCGGTCATACTAAGATAAGGTCTATGTAAACTTAAGAACAGGCTTATGCCCATGATAAATATAACACGTCATCCCACAGTACCCATGAGACAACCTACTTCTTATATTGGTTCGAGAGTGCAGTAGCAGTAGAATGAAGGTAATTTGTTACAGTGTGTTGGAAAAACGACTTCTTACTTGGCTTACGATAGTATATTGTTAGCCAGTCACTAATTATTCTGCTTGTATTGTTTTTCTTCCATCATCTGCGTAAAAGAGAATCGCTTACTGCCCAACGTTTACGTAGCTACATGTTTGAGCCTAAACTTGCGCTACTTAAACGCCAATTAACCGCGTTCGTTATGCATAATAAAGTTTATTCCAGAGCTTTATCTCACCAATTAAGCTTGAAAAATGCGCACCAATCTTGGTTAGCGCGAGTATAAGGAGTGGAACGTGGCACGCGTAGTGAAAAGAAGGCGAACACGCGATACACTTATTCCGTATAGCGGTTTTATTATACTACATTAGTATATAGTAAGGTTTTGACGGGGATCGCACCCTTACCACGATTAACGGCTCATAGGACCGCTTGTCATCACAGCCTTGTGAGACGGGCTGTTTAGCAGGTTGCAAAAAATATTTACCATGACTACCTGTACGGTTACGTAGATTCGTAGCCGCTAGCAGGGTTAGTTATTCAGCGGCATTAAGGGGACGTCGACTACTTTCCGCGATTTGACGGGCTGTGCCCTTCTGCAGTGACCGGCATCCTTAGAAATACTGAACTTACCTGGCTATAGCCATCCCAGGGTTCAGTTTCATGATGGAAGATGCTTAGCCCATGCGGAGTAGCTTCCCTATTTACCTGGGATAAACGAAATTACTATATACTACCGTGCTCTTGGCGATTTTGGCAATTAAATTAGCCACGTCTACAGTTGACCTGTCTGCTCTAAAGACTACAAAGACGTCAACCGGGAGTAGCGAAGGCTGTCGACAAGGCCCAACACGCAACACACAACGTAGCGCAGTGAGCATATTATACACAAGTGGCCTTGACGTTTCAATGACTACGCTAACGGAAGTAGTGATTGAAATAACCTATCAACCACGCTGAAACGGCACGCGCAGCGAACTAGCAGGTCTATTAAGACTTACTTGTCTATTTAAAATTCAAGTAAAACAATCAACCTTTCGCTGTTTATCCTGTGTGAGTGCAGATTACTATGAGTGAATGTATAAGGTTCCTGTCATGCTCCATGAGGGGGATGATGATCAAAACTAACCGGAGCCCCGCCTGATATCGAGCCCAGCAATTAAATCAAGTGAGCACATTGTTCCGACGTTATACAATGAGGCAAGTCGAACAAGCACAAAACGCTATTTTGGCAGATATGCATCAATTAGGATTCGAGATTCTTATAGTGTGGTTTGTGGGCAGTCAAAAGAGGACTTGAAATGCTATCGACCGTACTCTTAGAAGTAAAGCTGAATACTAATAACCTCCCCCTGAATAAGAGGCTATTTCGTAACGCACAGTGTCTTTCCTCTTCTAGCATTCAGCATAGATCTCCGCTCGAAAACCGCCGGGTCAGCGGGAAAAGGGTTTCCACGTTATTCTTTATGTGTCACGATTCAGCAGCTATGGATAGAATTGATCGTGGACTGGTTAGGATGAATCTATCTAACTAGCTTCGAGATTGGCTTCGTTGACTCCGAAAACTGCTTGGTACAACTGCGCTCTCTGTATTCTGTATCTGCTTCAGACACAAGCCAGCTAGAACTATCATGAATGACGGATAGCTCCTGATCGGTTGTTTCCAGGAAAAATTGAATATGAGAACTGGGAATTGACATACTCTCATCTTGCTTTAAAATTGAAATGAACTTGATCCATAACCGTAAAGAGAACGGCACAACTGTTTCTCTTGTTTCCAATATCCCCCTTACCACGGTCCGATCCTGTGCGTCTTTCTGCCTGCCAACATACGTACTTTGGCGTTGTCAATGGCGGCGATTGCGGGTGCAGTGACGCGATTGACCCTGCTGTGTGTCAGCTATATAGCGGAAGATGCAACACAAACTGCATGGGCTCTAGCTTTGAGAAGGGTGGTGGAACGTCTGATATTGAAGTATTTGCTGTGAAGACGTCGCTAACTACTCCCACGGCGACGGCGATAGCGGACAACAACAACTGGCACTGCCTCCACCACAACTACGGCGGCGTGAATTGACGTTGGCCCATGCATTTGACGGCCCTTGGTATGAGTTTGTTTACAAGCTGGCGCTGTGGATGAGCTCTCGATACGTTTTCCTTTCTGGTTATAGAATACATTATAACACATCACATCTAGATACCAACCGTCATTTCCCTCTGTGAAGCGCTCTCTTGTCGCCCTGAACGTGTTTGCCAAAATCCTTAATCTGAGAAGTACAAGCTTTCGCAAGGGATATAAGGGGGTACAACACACAAAATACCGTGGCGTGGCCACGCCCGTTTTTTGTGTGACACAAGCCCGTTGGTGTCACGACTGCCAGTCTCCTCTAGGACTGCAACATAAATAGAAGACCCTTGTTGCCACGAGTATAACCTACAGCACCACGTGAGGCATCCGATTCGGATGTGAATATGGCGAGGGCGAAAACTGTGGCTGATGGCAGGGAAAATGGCATCTTGATTCCTATTGGAAAGGAGCTGTTGCTCGGAGTATGGGTGGAGGAAATACAAGAGTAGTTGTATATGTATGCGATGGGTCTTGGAATGTATATTGAATGCTGTGTGATCCTCTGTCTGTGGAAGCTTCGGTAAGGCTGTCAAATGATCCCTGGCCTTCAATATTAATAGTAGCATCGCTTTGGATCTTCTCGGTAGGCACCACACCTAGTCTATCACCGTTCCTGTCGATGGAATGTGAGGCCCTGGAGCCAAGTTTATGGTGCTTCATCTGTCTACAGTCTCCTTACCAAGGGATATATATACAAATTATTTCCTCATGGCTTGACAATTTGCAAGTGCGATTCGCCCAAGTTACCAAAGAAACTAGCACCGAGCGCCTGAGTTGGTGCGGAGGGATCCGTCACATTACACAGCTTGGCAAAACTCCCATTGGCCTCCAATTTGTCAGCCACATACTTAACGTACTTGCTGAGACTACATGACTTGCCCGGCCCGTCGTGACAAAATGGCAGTTGATACACAGCCTCGTTAAGACGAATCCGTACAAAGGTTTTGTTTTGACCAGGACTGCTGGTTGCAGGGCCGCCAGCTTTGCAGTTGAGCCTCTCGAAAGCAATGGTTCCTCTCATTGGTGTGATGCGTGAGCTGCGCCAGAGGCGGTCTCCGGCGATTCTATTGACCGGAAGAGGCTTCTCATTGTCAAAAATGCCAGTGGCGCTAGCAAGCTGAACAAGCTGGCCATCGTTGAGAAAGCTCATTAGCAAGTTGGGGACATTGAAAAAGCCACCACCGGTCGTGGTACCTCTAGCATCTGGTCCTGCCGCAAGTCTAGCCATCAAACTGTGCAAAAACGGAACCATCATCTTGGATGAGACATTGGTAGCGGGACCGAGGCCGTAGTAATACCTCAGATCTTGTAGGTATTCGTATTGCTCAAGCTCGTCCTGTGTAAAGGTGTCACAAAACGGAGAAAGTCTGCCCGTGATTTGCGACTCGAAGCCGCACAGGTAGGGAAAGTCGCCCCAAGAGGACTCGTCCAGAGTCAAGTTGCCGTGAATAAATTTCGACAAGCGTTGGATGAATGGGGGAAGCCAAATCGAGCTCCATGCGTTTTGTTGCGCGCTGCTGTCGTCTTTGAAGGTAGGGCACATGTCTGACGGCGCAAGCGTGTCACCCAAGTGGGTTATGAAGCCTTTGCTCGTGACAGACACAACGTTTCCCAGAAGAGTGGCATTGACGCCGATGAATCCTCTTACAAAGGCTTGGGCTGTCTGAATGACTCTGGTGTAGTTATTTGCCCAGACATAGAAGCTATCTCCTTCGTTATATAGATGCCGATAGCTGTCAGCAATGTTAGACTATTAAATTGCTAGAATTCCAAGAATAATGTACGATATTTCTTTTTACCGGGTTCTTAATGTATATCCGAGGTCACTGGCCTCCTTTACGCCAGCTTGACTTAACTGGGCAATCTGGACATCGGAATCTGTGAGGGGAGGCGACCACTGATGGACAAAAGAAAGGGGTCCGTTTGCGGTGTAATTGCTGTTTTTGAACTACTTCAAGTTAGCTCACCATCCATCGTCATACAAGTCTGTCCATTTTATGGCATGTCTTGTAGGCTTAAGATTTCGCTTACACGGCGAGCCATTTCAACCCAGCCGTTATAAGCTCCTTGGTCAGGGTACCGCGAGCCGTGGCGTAGTATATAGGCAGCTTGGTCGACGTGACAATTTTCCGGAACATCCGAAGAGATATTTTGCACATCCGGTCCTGCCTGTGTCAGACTTATGCGTGAACAGTTACCAGATGACAAAAGAATGATGATGTTGTAGTACCAATAGTCCAAGGCCCGTTCCCACCTAGATGAGCCAGGGGATTCTTTGCTGCTGCTCCGTCCGGGAGAAGCAATGGCTGGATTGGATCCAAGATGGTACCAGATCCGACATGGTCGTGGGCATTTCTCGCTGCGGCAACGAGACAACCAAAGAGGACGACGAGCTTCATTCTGCCGATTGCTAAAAGACGACTCGTCAATCAAACACGATATAGTATATTCCCGAGTGTCTCATTTTCGTGCTGCTGAAGTGCTCAGCTTTTAACTTTTTTTCATGACTATTTCGCCAAATCCTAAACAGATACCTTGCTGCTCACGAGTCGGTTCGAGCATGAGACTAAGGATGATTACCAGGCACGTGAGAAATATGCTCAAGTTAATTCGTTTGCGTTGGCTCTTGAGGCTCAAAAGATCCAGGCATTCCGGCCTTCGGAAATTAGCCAATTTTCCCAACATCCCTGTTAGTCTTGAACCCCTGCCAAATCCCTACAGAAATTTGGGTACCAGCGATTTTTTCCAGTAGATGACACAAAGCTCGCCAAGCGGCCTTGAGAATCCATAAATCACTTGGCAGGGAACGTGGCTGAATTGGTTCGCTGTCATGGCAGCGGGTAAAGTCAAGTTTGCTTTAGTGGGACTCAAACCTGTCACACAAAAAACGGACGTGGCTACGCCACAGTATTTTGTGTGTTATACCCCCTTATATTCTCTGCGACAAAACCCACAATGGCACAAAAGGGGGGGGGGAGGGGGAGGAGAGTCGTTTCAGTGCTTCCGTACTCATGTATATTTAGTATCCACACGAGAGCATGTTGTTGGGACCATGGTACCACCAGCTAAATTGAGCAGTATGCGCAAGAACAAGTGGCTCTTTTGACGTTCCAAATAGATCCGCAATCGCATCGCTGAGCCGAACCGGTTAGGTCAAGTTCGTTTGGGATCCCAGCACAGCAGTCCACTTATTATAGTAAAACAGAGCCAAATCTGAATTGTATTCTATATCGCGACTATACGGGATACCGTAACTCTATCGAAGGAATCGTATAGACGTTGAATCTGGCGACTAAAGTAAACAGAAGATAAAAGGAAAAGACTACAAATAGAAGCCTTCTTGAAAGTAATGCGCTACTACTTACTCCTATGTTAAGAGAAAGTCGCAAGCTAAGATATCAATCATGGGTCACATGATTGTTACATGATTGCCGTGCTACGTGCTATTGGCACGACACATTAGCTTACAGCTCATCTTTCACGATGACATTTATTTGTTAGCTTACAGCTCATCCTTCAAATCCGGGTTCTCGTAAGAGTCCTGGCAGTGAAAGGAAGAAGCCTTGGCCGGATCCCCGCCCCTATACGCAGGTACCTGGGGGTAGGGACACAAATTGCGACGATAGCTGCCATCGGCTGTGGCTGCTGAAAGGGTATCAGGAGCCTTGCCATCCTCAACCCAGTCGATCAAGGCTGAGAATGGATCCTCGGGAAGGAGTCCGTGGCCGTAGCCGCAATGTGCTACACCAGGGGCGAAAAAGAAGCGATAGAAGTCCCGCACAGAAGCATGGCGAGCCTCGACCTTGTTGTAATAGTTTTCTGATCCTTTTGCGTAGATTTGCTGGTCATCCGTGCCGTGCCAGTGCAGCAACTTGCCGCCTGCTTGGCGGAACTCGGTCAAATCCGGATTGTCGTTGCTGGCAACGGATCGATATGCGTTGACAGACAAGTTCACAGCTGCTTCGTATCCCTCGGGCGAAAGGGTAGAAAGGTCGAGATTGGGGTCCTGCAAGACAAACAGCTTGATCCAGTCAGAGGCGATCTGGAAAGGGACACCCGCACACTCCGCAAGTGTGCAGGGGGCACCTCCGAGTCCTTTCAGCTCGACGCCTTTGCTCATCCCGTACCACATAAAGGACCCATCTCTCTGTTTAGGACCGTCCCAGAATTTCTGTACGATGGCAGCATCTTTGGCAGCAATCTTGATTGCCTCCCCGTTACAATCAAACTTTTTACCCACAAGCGAGCGCGGGTCAAAATCGCACTGGTCCAAGGCCGATATGATGCCATCTTCAACACCATCTAGGCCGTCACACGCCTTGACGGTGGCATTACGAATGGCGTCAAACGCGCACTGCGACAACTGGTGGCCCTCTTGGTCCATGACAAACTTGGGGTAATACATGCCTGGAACAAATGTCGCCCAGTTGATGGCTGGCGCTCCGGCCAGAATGCCATCGTAAGCGGCGGGATATCGCTGAGCCAGCATAAGGCCCTGGCGGCCACCCGTCGAGCAACCGTCCCAGTACGAGTACCGTGGCCCCTGGCCGTAGAGGTCTGCGATGACTTTCTTAGCAATAATGGCTGCCTCGTTCTGGGAGAGGGCAAAGAAGTTCTGCACGAGGAAGAAGTTGACATTTCCCGCCGCATCAAGGGCCCAACTGGTTGCGTCTATCGGATTACGGGCGTGGCCAGCGTCAGTTCCAACAGCCGCATATCCGCGTGACACAGCGGGCGCAAAGCGGTTATCTGTCCAAAGTGAAGACAGTCCAGCACCGCCAATGCCACTGAGTCGGCCGTTCCATCCTTTCAGTGGGAGCCACACGGTAACCTGAACGTTGTCCCTCCAACCTTGGTGGGCGTAGTTGATTGTAACGTTGCAGAAGTTGAGGGAGACGTCGTATTGTCTTTCCGGATTCGCATCTTCTGCAACGATGTGGAAGTTCTCGAGGCGCTCGGCCGTCACCGACAACTTGGTCACTCCTGGCAGGTCAGGGAGGCTAATATCCTGGGAGGAACATTTCGAGAGAGAGATTGCAAGTATCGGTGAAGCCAGCCATAGGCATATGGCTGAAGCGTAAAGGGATAACGGTCGTGCTGCTAACATTCGGACGGTTCACTTGCGGCGTAATAAGTTAATGCCAGATGTCGAGCAGCAAAGATTTAGGTTTGCGAGTCACAATTAGTAATTTCGGTCTTTATATTTATTGTTCCCCCCTTTTTGTAGTCAGTCTGGTAACAGCACGTGATCGGGAAGGGAATCCGCGGGGGAATGCTGGCCGAACGCTAGACTAAAGGGGTTGCTTCCCGAACAGGTCAACGGTATTGGAGCTAGGGGATTGCTTCCCGATGATAGGGCGGCGAGTCATGCCAGCTTGTCCGAGACGGCCGAAGGGTGCTGTCCTTCTCTCGCCACTATATATCGGGACCTTCGCACTCCTTTGCCACTACACATACCTTCTCAGCATCGAGGGGTGAAGGTGAATACCAGTAGTGAAATTTTGAGGCTCTGGTCCTGGTGCAACAATCAAATTTGCTCAAGGCCCTCGCTCATTTTTGAGGGCAAACGCTCTGTTCGCTGTGCACACAAGGACCAAGTTTAATAGCGACATGGATCCTACATGTTGCATGCTGTGACCAAGGTGGTTTCAGGCTCTTTGGCCGCAGGTTTCTCGGCAGGTTTGCAAGATTTGCAAGGGGAATAATTGTGATGAATGGGCATAACCTTGTCCTGCTTGAACGTTTATTCAACCAACGTTGAGATGCAACTAATTGAAACTAGGCGCTTTAACCGAGGAAAGAATCATCTCAATAACCAACCTTATCCCCTTTCCTCTTCCTCCTCCAAAGTTGCGTCATACTTGTGACTGAGTTTCCGATGCGAAAAACCTACTTGGCGATTTAAATACTCTGCCTATCGACAGCGTACTGCAGTTTTGTTCAGTTCATCATCCGTTTTCATTGTCAAGGAAGCGAATTGGTTAGAATCCGATCTTTGAGAAAGCTCCAGGTCCGGATGGGCCCATCGTACTCGTCAAGGCGGCCTATCACCAGATTGACTCGTATTCCGTTCGCGTGTAAAGAACATTCCTCTCTTCTCTATTAGTTACCCAGAGTGGACAAGCCAGACTGCCCTTTCCTTGGGAAAGAAACGATGCCAGTTACCTATGTTTGGAAGCGTCTGGTGGTGGTGACGGGTATGGTTCCACACGACGCAGGCAAATCGGACACGTGGCAATCCTTGTTGTAGCAGGGGCTCGAATCAGCACGACAACAAAAGCCCAAAATTAGATAGCCTCTGGCCAGCCGCGTTAGAAACAACGGTAGACGGGGGTTGGAGCACCAGCAGTACAAGGTTGAAAAATACAACCATGGTGGAATGAACTATGACCTTTATGATCCAACGGGACCACAAAGAGGACCTTTACATGTAAAACCATGTCTCAAGCTTCAAACGTATTTACTTACGACGTACGCAAAAGTGGATCACACTTGGCACGCTCAAAGCATCTACATTTGAAACATAAAAAACTGGATGCTCAAGTACGTCAGAGGAAGGCAAGGCCCGAGCGGCAATGTAATGAACCCCAGACTCCACCGAGGCAAGTTGGACTTGACCATGATACCGATGGTGACGGTTCTTTACATGTGCTGTGCTGTTGATGGCGCAATCATGGGGTAAGTCGGGGTCAACGTGGGTCCTGACTCTCGAGATAGTCCTGTGACAGACCCTAGGCGTTCCTATTCCTACGAATTGCCTTTATCTATGCACAACGATTTAACCGGAATCCAAACCTAACGGGTCAGCCGAGAGATCCGCAGGCTTGCGTGGAATGCGGGCGTCAACATTGGATGATTGCCGGCTACATTACCAAAAGTGGAGAAGCGGTTGACCCTGCTGATAGTGCAGGCTCGCTATCTCTCTTTGAACCAGACCAGACGTTATCGCAGCCGGACCCCGACGCCGACCTCGTGCGCTCCGTCGGTAAGTGGATCCCGAAGCGTCTGGTCGGCCATCCCCACATGCACCCGGACTGATCGGGTCAAGTCTGGTGCTTGATGCTGCCAGCCAGGGTCAACGGTACCAAGGGTTGGGACCGTGGGGTGTGATTCCGCGAAGCCGACCAGCTATGAGCTGGGGAAATGGAACCAGGACCGTGCTCCAACATCGACACCCGTTGAAACCCCTATCCGAGGACCGCCGACATGAGGGCATTTAAGGTCTGAAGCCTCCGCAAGACTGGGACACAGAAAGACACAGAAATTATTCATGACTGCTCTGGCCAAGGGCTCGTTAGAATAGTTTCAGTAATATCACACCGGCTTATTAAACAGATAAGTCGAGTCCATGGCGGGCCAAAAGATCACCATCTCCATTGACCGTGGAGGCACATTTACGGATGTGCATGCCATCGTCCCCGGCCGACCTGATATCGTACTCAAGCTTCTTTCTGTCGACCCTTCCAACTATCAAGATGCCCCAACAGAAGGCATCCGCAGAGTCCTCGAGGCTGCCACGGGCACGCCGTTGCCAAGAGGCCAACCACTGCGACTCGACGATATTGAGTGTCTCCGGATGGGCACAACTGTTGCCACCAACGCTTTGCTCGAGCGCAAGGGCATGAAGTCAGCGCTCCTGGTGACAAAGGGCTTCAAAGATCTCCTTCGCATCGGCAATCAAGCCCGCCCAGACATTTTTGACCTCTCTGCCCGCAGGCCTGACGTGCTCTTTGAAAAGGTCGTCCAGGTGGACGAGCGCATTATCCCGTCACACCCACGTTCATCCCAGGAGGCCCTCTCGGCTTTTCGCGAGATTGAGGGCAGCACGGGAGAAAAGTATCGCGTTGCCGAGGAGCTCGACACGGAAAAACTGGTCGCAGAGTTGCAAGCCTTGAAGAACCAAGGCTATGGCTCGGTTGCCGTTGCACTCATCAATTCTTTCGCCTGTCCAGACCACGAAGTCAAGATTGGCGAGATTGCCAGTAAGATGGGATTCTCTGTGGCGCTTTCATCACAGTTACAGCCCATGATCAAGGTGGTTCCCCGAGGCATGTCAGCTACCGCGGATGCCTACCTTACCCCAGTCATCAAGTCGTACATCGACTCCATCTCGGCCAATTTTGATGGTGGTCTAGACGGGTCACATGGATGCCGAATCGAGTTTATGCAATCTGACGGAGGACTCGTCGACTTTCGCAAGTTCAGTGGCCTGAGGGCCATCCTCTCCGGCCCAGCAGCTGGTGTTGTTGGATATGCCTCCACCAGCTGGGATAAAACAGCTCGCATTCCCATCATTGGCTTCGACATGGGTGGCACGTCGACTGATGTGTCACGGTTTGACGGCCATCTTGATCACACGTTTTCTTCGAGCATTTCCGGCGTCAGCATCCAAGCTCCGCAGCTGGATATCAACACTGTTGCCGCGGGAGGTGGATCTATCCTTTCCTGGAGAAACGGACTCTTCACGGTCGGACCGGAATCAGCCTCTGCCCACCCTGGTCCAGCATGCTATCGCAAGGGTGGCCCTCTTACCGTCACCGACGCCAATCTTTTCCTCGGCCGCCTGCTGCCGGAATACTTCCCCAAGATTTTCGGCCCGAATGAGGATCAACCCCTTGATCGCGACATCACCAGGAAGCTGTTTGAGGAGCTGACGGAAAAAATCAACGCCGAGCATGGTCAAAGCCGACTTACGCCGGAACAGGTTGCGTTGGGCTTCCTCAATGTTGCAGATGAGTCCATGACGCGGCCAATCCGAAACCTAACTGAGGCCCGCGGGTTCGAAACTTCCTCCCATCATCTTGCTTGTTTCGGTGGTGCTGGCGGTCAACACGCCTGTAATGTGGCAGCCTCACTTGGTATCTCCCGTATCATCATCCACAAGTACTCGTCGATTCTATCTGCTTATGGCCTTGCTCTCGCTGAGATTGTACAAGAGGCGCAGGAGCCCATGGCCACTCAGTATGCTGGCGCTGAGAGTACCATTGCCACCAGATTGCAGGGTCTTATTGACCGCTCGTCTGAGCAGCTGCGAGCTCAGGGCTTCACGGACGGTCAACTTCGCCATGAAATATTCCTCAACATGAGATATGAGGGCTCCGACACCAGCTTGATGATTCTGAAGCCCCAAGACGGTGACTTTGCCTCGGCTTTTGTTGAGCGACATCGCCGAGAGTTCAACTTTACCTTTGAGCGACCTATCCTAGTAGACGATATTCGTGTCCGCACCATCGCCTCCGCAAACAAGGCATCCGAGAAAAGCCCATTAGAGCAGCTCGCAGAGGCCGAGATCAAGGAAGCGCCCGTTGCTTCACAGAGCACGAATGTCTACTTTGACTCTCAATCGGGTTTCATCAGTACACCTGTCTACCAGTTGCGAGAGCTTGGATCCAATGTCAAGTTGCATGGACCCGCCATTATCATTGACGAGACACAGACTATCGTCATCTCTCCAAACGCCACCGTCCATATACTGGAGACTTGTGTTCTCATTGACCTGGACTCCCGTTCAGGCGAGGCGGTTTATTCCGACAAAGTTGACCCCGTTCGACTGTCAATCTTTGGTCATAGGTTCATGTCCGTGGCGGAACAGATGGGTCGTACTCTTCAGAAGACGTCAGTTTCGACGAATATCAAGGAGCGACTCGACTTTTCTTGCGCCTTGTTCTCACCCGACGGCGGCCTTGTTGCAAACGCACCACACGTCCCTGTGCATCTTGGCTCTATGCAATTTGCAGTCCGCTATCAACACCAGCGCTGGTTAGGTAAACTGAAGGATGGTGACGTCCTGGTCTCGAACCACCCAGTATCCGGCGGAACACACTTGCCGGACGTGACGGTTGTGACGCCCGTTTTCAAAAAGGGCACGGATGAGATTATTTTTTACGTCGCATCTCGCGGTCACCATGCGGACAGTAAGCTAAATTCCCCGCCTTGCAGAATTAATCCTCGGCTAACAAAAGTGTATAGTTGGTGGCATTCTTCCGGGGTCCATGCCTCCGAACTCTACTGAGATCTGGGAGGAGGGCACTGCTATCGAGTCGGAAAAGGTCGTGTCCAACGGTGTCTTCAATGAGGCTCGCATGCGGGAGCTCTTTTACGATATTCCCTCTCAGTACGAAGGCTGCTCCGGTAGCCGCAACTTGAGTGACAACATTTCAGATCTCAAAGCCCAGATCGCTGCAAACGCCCGTGGCATTTCGTTGATCCAGAACCTCATCGAAGAGTATGGGCTTGAGACGGTACAGATGTACATGTACGAGATCCAGAGGACAGCTGAGCTGGCGGTTCGGAATCTCCTCAAAGACATGTATCATCGCTACGGTGGCAAGCCTCTGGAGGCACTGGATTTCATGGACGATGGCACGCCCATCCAGCTGAAGATTACGATTGACGAGAACGGCTCGTCCGTATTCGACTTTGCGGGCACTGGGCCGGAAGTTCGAGGCAACATCAACGCACCCGAGGCCATTACGCATTCTGCAATCATTTATGCCCTGCGATGCATGATCAAATCTGATATTCCATTGAATCAGGGATGCTTGGCCCCCGTGGATATTAGAATTCCGAAGCCGAGCATTCTCAGCCCAACCGGCGCTGCTGCTGTTGTCGGCGGCAACGTTACAACTAGTCAGCGAGTCACTGACGTGGTACTCAAGGCTCTTCGTGCCTGTGCCGCCTCCCAAGGTTGTCTGAATAATCTGACCTTTGGGGTTAATACCAAGACTGACGAAGCCACGGGTGAAGTTATTCCGGGCTTCGGATACTACGAGACTATCGCTGGTGGTGGTGGCGCAGGCGACAACTTTGTCGGAGAGAGCGGCGTTCATGTCCACATGACCAACACTCGCATCACAGATCCAGAAATTCTCGAGAAGAGGTATCCTTGTATCCTTCGTCGCTTTGAGCTTCGAGACAAGACCGGGGGTGAGGGACGCAACCGCGGTGGAGATGGTGTTGCCAGGGAGATTGAGTTCCTCGCTCCGTTACAATGCTCCATCCTCTCGGAGCGTCGGGTGCACCGCCCGTATGGTATGGACGGTGGAGAGGCTGGTGCAGCTGGCTTGAACTTGTGGCTCACCAAGGATCAGTATACTGGCCAGGAGCGGACAGTCAATATCGGCGGAAAAGGCAGTGTGCCCATCAAGGTTGGGGACCGAGTTGTTATCATGACACCTGGTGGTGGTGGATTTGGCCGCAAGGAGACTCAGGCACAAGAATGAACGGGCTAATTAGGCTCTCCAATAAGTTATCCACAGAGGATCTGATCAACCCCTGGCCTCACTCGCGTTGTAGCTCCAAGACTGAAGATCCCCTCCTGTGCTTTCCAGCATACCCCTACCCTTTCCTCCATCCTTTCCACCTTTCAAATGGGCTATAGTGTATTGTGCCGAGGGGGGTTTCCCGGAGAGCGGTAACTAGCTTTGCGACGCTCTTTGAGCATCACATCTGCAGTCCGGGATATTAGATCGTGGCAAGGCGTGAGGGATGACATAGCGTTCGCAGCAATTCAGTCTAGTGCATTTCAACAGATATTTACCGACGTGCCAGATGTTCCGATTCCATTCAGTTCCTCTCGCACTATTGCTCGACGCATTGACTCGGACCAGCGTCGGGCCCAACTAACTTATAAAATTGCGACAAATTGCTCAACAATTCCTCTTTCACTAGACTTTTGGATAAGCACGAACCATGAATCCATATCCGAAATCATTGGCCACTGGTTATTCCAAAAACTGAATATCGGGAATGAATCCTGGAGTTCAGCGAGATGCCTGGGTCAGATAGTGGAAAGAATATTGTCACAGCAAGTTGACATAGTACGGCCTTGTATGCAAGAATAGGGTTAGTCTACCAAGGGGAACAATCACGAGATGAAAAAAAGATGCGACGACACGTTAGGGTGTCCTTACCTGTACAAGTAGGGAAGGGAGGTCAAAAGTCCCGATTCTAGAAGTGTCGTGAATCCCCTGGGAAAATGTTACGCGAAGGTCACGACGTATTGAAGGCACAGGCCGACCCTTGAACCTGACGATAGTTGCACAAGGGCTCGAGACCTAGTTGGGGCCTTAGCCCTCCAGGCTCCCTTGCTCACCGTTACGTTGTATAAATAAGGGGCATCTACACCCAGAGACCTTGAGAGAAACCAAGAACCTTTAATATTAGAGTGAATTATTAGCTGAATCCAATATTTCCAAGCCCTTTATATAAGCCCGGGTCACGGACAAATAAAGAAATCAGGACATAAGTGAAACTAAACCATTTTGTGTGTATTTTACTATCCTATTTTATTCGGCATAAGCTCATGTAGAGTTCAACTTTGCTACCCCATACCATCGAAATATAACGAGAAATTGTCCTTAAGAAATGTTTAGGAGGCTGATATTCGTAGCCCTCTATGAAGATCTAGCTACCGCTACGATACCTCATAAGCGACGAGTTCCGATCTTGGGACTCTTTTTGGGCGATATATAGAGGCTTAAGGATTTTAATTTACTTCTTTAGTTGCTACCAGAACGAATAGGACTTGGCGATACGAATAATCTACCTTCCCCCAACAGTCGAGGCAGCGTGGTACGGACCTTTCTTCCATGAAACTAATCTCGAGTCACACCATCCACCTGGACAAGGACCCCTCCCACTTTCATGCCGGAGGCACATTCACTTAGCAATCATGCCATGTCTGTCAACAGGAGCTAGTCTCAACCCACTCGGTCGAGACTGAGTTCTTGAAAGAATTTCTTCTAAACTATGTACACTAACAACTTCTCCTACCAGCGTTAAAAGGTCAATTTCGTCTGCCTTTCAAGTACCCCAGAACATTCATTAGCTTGACTATAAGGTCCACGGTCTACAGAGAAGATTTTAAAAGAAAGAATCACGTTCAGACCGTCCAACCTCGCAAACTCGGTACCTTGAGGCGACGGCCTGATGGGCAATGAATATGGACTGAAGTCATTGACAAGAAACCAGGGCTTTCCGTGAATTGACGGGCTAAGGTTTCCTGGGCAGTAGCGATGCCGCTATCGCGGAAAAAAAAGGGGGTTGCAAATACAGAACTTTGTGAAGTGCTTAAGCTACTCTCAGCAGCCCTCTATTCCAAGCTGCCTTTCATCTGAGCCCGTTCACCTGACCCTAGGCGTAATCCTCATTCTCACTGGAGGTGGATACTTGACGGCACTGATTCTGATGCCATCAAGAACATCTTGGGAGGGATCGACTAGATCCATCTTGGTCACGAGTTAGCTATTTACGTTTCAGATACCATATAACGTAGGGTACTCACATCAAAGTTCATCAACAACAATGGCAACGTCTTCTTCATCTCCAGCCATGCAATGTGGACACCGGTACACGTCCTCTTTCCAGCACTGAATGCGAGAAAGGCCCGATTCATCTGTCGGCGCCGATCCTCATCCGCTTCTAGCCACCGTTCTGGTCTGAATTGATCAGAATCTGTGCCGTATACATGCTTGTCTTGGTGGATAGCATCTATCTGACAACCAACAATGGTTCCTCCGGGGATAAATGTGCCTGCAATGATGGCACCGCCGGATGGAACCACGCGATCAAGACCCCAAGATGCAATAGGAAGAAGCCTCATAGACTCCTTGAGCACTGCATCAAGATATGGCATCTTGTTGACCTCGAGCCATTTGGGAATGGGGGAGAGGGTGCCAGCTTCAAGGTTTTGATCAAATTCTTGCAACAACTTGTCCCTCACCTCAGGATGCTTGGAGAGAAAGTACAGGGTATACGTCAGGGTGCCGGCAGTAGTATCGGCACCAGCGCCAATGGTGGACATGACGATGCCCAAAATCTCATCCTGCCCGACAAGCTGCGGGTATTTGGCCTGACCCTCAAGGAACTTGGCACAGAGATCTTTGTATGACAGGTTCTCCGCGTCCTTTCTCCTGGCCTCCAACTTGGCGCTGGCGACTCTGGCAAGGGGACTGTCTGCCACACCCTTCAGCTTTGTAGCAAGCCGACTCTTGTTAAAAAGGTAATCGGCTGTTGGAACAGCGCCCCAGTGACCCCAGTGGTCAAACCGGGCCATGACGGCGGCAAGCGTCCCGTCAACATCTTGACCGCTGGCCAGCAATCCGAGGGATTCACTAAAAGCAATGCGGATCAACATGTCCATGGCAAAGAATTGTAACCATTCGCCAATGTCGGTTTCCGTTTGCTGCGAGAGAGCCTTGATCAAGTCTTGTGCAGTGGCTTCTATCGAGTCTTCATAGTCGAGGAGAGAATTTGTGATGAATGCCCGGCCGACCGACTTTCGGACTGCCGTGTGCTGGGTCTCGTCCATGCCAATGATGGTAGGCAAAGCTCGGTTCTTGCTCACGGGGATGGCGCCGTAGTAAGATGGACCCTTGGGCCATGTTGGACTTGTGCTATAGACGATGGAAACGGCGGCTGGATCGCTGATGCTGACATGATTGGGTCCTATGCGCACGAGTTTGCCAAACTTTTTGTGCAAGGCAACTAGCCTCTTGGCATGGCCTTTGGAGTTTTGAGAACGATATCTCCAAAAGTCTGTAAACTTGGCGGCCAAGGGACCTGGGATGTTTGATAGTCGGAAATAGGTGGTGAAGAGGTGCGCCACCAAGAGACAACTGCCTACACTTAGAACAAGGACAATGGTGGCGGGCATGTTGGTTGTGTATAATGCCGGAACGCTGAGCCAGGGCTAAGCCATGAGCTCGCCACGGCCGCGGCCACTTGGGACCATTTATCATTTCGAATGGGAATAAGACGCATTCTTCTCTACATGTGTAGCCTCGTGCATAGTCTTGACCGATGGGCCGGTGCGCCCCGCGTTTCTCTGCTCGTTATCGCGGATGTATTACCCCGGATCAGAACATTCAATGTTCCATCTGGAGAGAGTGGGGAAGGGGGACTGGAGCCCCATCGGGATGTGGAACCCGACAATACGGGGCCAACGGTGGGTGCGGGGACGCCAAGCGCATTGATTTCTTGGAGTGCTGACCCCCGATATGGTCCGCGGCTATCTTTTCGGCCGTCGTGAGCCGATCAACAGTTATACCTCGGTCTATACCCCCCAACTCTCCCATGTAGCATAACTAATCCATGACCTTGATATGCTACATGCTTGATACCCCAAACACTCCACGACATCTGTAGATCGGCTTCATCCTCCCGCGCTCCACATGAAAGACGCGCATGCATCAAGTCGGTGCTATCTTTGAGTAGGGATTTTGAAATTAGAAAACCTTGTATACTCGTAGGAGCATATCAGGCCATAAAAGATAACACATGCACGGAGGCTTCTGCAACCAGTAATATGGCTCAGGATAAGCCTGCAAAAGATTAACAAACAGTCAAACCGTTGCCTAATAGCTCACTCACATTATCTCCTTTCTCTGCCATGTACATATGAAACAGCCCCTGGCCGTTGAGCCGAAATGGTTTGGTACGAACGGAACATGCTGCCTAGTTAAGTAAAGAGACGCATCTATAGAAGCCAGTGGGGGTCTCTGCCCTAGGTCTTGTGTTTGTAACCGTCTGATAAGGTGTGCTTGTCTTAACCGGGTAGTAATATCTACGTGACCCGTCAGCGACTAAGTCGGCTTCAACGGCTATTACCAAGCACGCTCGCGTATCTTTCAAGCTCCAGTTAATCACGAGCGGGCAAAATCGCCGTCTTCTTCCTCAACACTTAGCCAGAGGCCCTAAGCTGCAGTCACCGCCGTCGTAGTGGAGTTGTCGAGGAAAAAGGTCCCGGGCAACTCCACGCCGGTTTCCTGCTGCATGGCTGAAATAAACGTGATGGCCATGAGGGAGTCTATGCCCAAATTGGCCAGGTTGACGTCGTCGCTGTTCAAGTCGCTTAGCTCCACGCCCACCCTCACGTGCAATGATGGAAAACAGCGTATCGACCAAGTCGAATTTCTCCCCCTCGCTATTATTAACATTTGCTGTAGACGGTGGAGTCGGAACTTGTGAGTCTGCTAATTGGTGTGGCTAGTGGTGACGGGTTGAACTGACAACAGCTTCGTTTGAGCCATCGTCAGTATACATGTACTTGGATGGGCAGCCATGTTGTGGGCTGCCGGGGGACTCAGCAGATTGATGAACGCCGTCCTATTCATCTTTTGGAACTGCAATCCCGTCAAGACCGAGGCCAACTCATCTCCATGATAGATGTATACATCCCTAGTTACCAGATTGCGCGTCGACCGCGAGTCTTCCATGAAGGTATAGCTGGTGTGCACAGTCGGAAGATCAAGCGGCTTCAGTAGGCGCCACTCCTCAAACCCAGTCGAGAAACAAGCCCAGCACGGGAATAGCGAAGCCCGTTGTTCACCGAAGAACCCGACAAATGAACATCCGAGTCTAGCAAGAAGGGATGGTGGAGGTAATGACCGCCCGCGGCTGGGACGTGTGCCATGTTGATTACCGACACGGCATCTCGCATGTCCTCTGAGAGAGAGACATTTTCTAGCCCCTAATAGTGTTCACATTACGCACAACGTTGTCGAATAAACGGTCGACTGCGCGTTTGCCCAGCCGGTGATTTGCGGGCGCCTTGAGAGCAGCCATGCGCGACCGAACCAGGAAGCTAGCTTGGTCCGGTTTGCTTGCTGACTCCAAGGCGACCTGGCAGGCTCCTATCTCGTAATACTCGTCAGACGTGCGGCAGTGGTACTGGATATCCGTAGTCTTCGTCGAGGGTGTGAGAGTGACAGTGACTTGCACGATCTGGGGTTTCTCCGTCAAGGCAACACCCCGGTGAAAATAGCAGTTGTGGAAGGTCAATGGCACTGGCATTTTCTGACTATTAGCATTCTTAATATAGGCATATTGGGCCGCGGAGAGTGCCATGTTCAGGAGTAGGCTGCTGGAACAAATTTCCACATCAGCCACGGCATGACCTCGCACAGCTGCACGTAGGTGTTGGTCTCTCAGGTCCGATGAAAATGTAACCGACAGCTCATCGGGCCCGATTGTCTCGCTTATGGTCCGCTGCAAAGTCGTCTTGCAATGCCCTTGCACAGAGGGGACGATGACGTGTTGTTGGCTGTGCTTGGTCTCGATTTCACCACTGGTCATGATGCCCAGAATTCCTTCTCGTCAAATGAGCACTTTGGAAGATCAAGCAGGCATACAGATGATTTGAAATTCCGGTGTTAGGCTGGCCAGTCAATAGGGGCACCCGCCATATAGAGATCTCTCAAGCTGTCCGATAGCGATGCCCAGTCCATCGAAGCTGTTGAGAAACACGCGCAGCGTGTCCTTGGCCGCTGGTCTAGGCTCCAGTCTCATGTTGCGGGCCGCGATTGTACATTACAGGCTGCTAGATTAGGAAATCCATGGTAGTTGGGCTAAGGAGGGTCGGGTTGAGAGGGGATCTGTCGAGACTGAAGCATCATCGTGGTTCTGATGAGAGCGCAAACACCGGCCGCCTGTAGGACATAAGCACAGGAATCTTTCGAAAGACATCTTCTCAGAAACTCACCGCCCCCCGTTGGCCAATATTTGCCTTTACAGCTCCAACAATGAGTGGATTATCTGAGCCTCGCTTCTGTGCAAGTGTTTCCGTGTAAAGCCTCCAGCCTGTGGACCTATTCGATGCGTCTCCACGTATGAAATGCTGTCCGCGTCTACATCCCTTTGCTCCAGAACATTTCGGTACAGCTGTTGCCGAGAATTTTCTGAGGGATGCATCATGGAAGAAGCATCGCCGCCGTAGTTGCGCCCGGATCCCCGGACGACTCCGAGGATATTTTCTCGCTCGTCCAGCGCGCCCTCCAACCGCTTGAGAACAACCACTCCCACTTCCTCTCCACAGACGTAACCGTCGGCATTGTCGTGGAATGTCTGATACCTCCATGCATGGATAAGGAACCACCACGGATTAACCCTGAGAAGGGCGAGAAGGGATCCTCCACCAGCCAGAGCCATGTCGCGAATGCGACCGAGGAACGTCGAGCACGCTAAATTGACGGCTGCGATACTCGAAGATCAGGCCCAGTCGACGCTATAACACGGCTCCCCATTTGAAGTGGTGATGCAGTCTGCCTGGCCCAAAGGCGCGGCAGGTTCCCATGGCGAAGTAGATGTCTACCCCTTTGTGGACCACAACTTCTTGCCAATCATCTGTCCTCTGGCCAAAGAAGAAGGCAATGCGATCCTTATTTGTTCAAAGCATGCCATCGGAATAGTAGCCCGACATCTCCAGTGCCTCGTACTCGGTTGTCATTAGCACCCGGTGCTGGACATCTGTCTACATAGCTTCCCTACGTGACATGCCGGAAAGGCGGTTGTCGAACATGCCTGGCTTGCCGAGAAAGGCTCTTTTCCGCTCGATTGTAGAGTTCCTCGAGGTTTTGGCGTTTCTCTTGGTCCGGAAACGATAATATCTAAGCGACCCTAGCTTCGCTATTGTAGATTAGACCACCGTGTTACCCTATATACGTTGCGCGCGTCGACTGATGGTATGTGTAGACTTGAGTAAATTTGGAATGACCTAGACGCAGGAAAGCCATCAATTGATATATTCAAAGCCCGCGACTTTATAACTTGCTTCTTCCCGACACCTTCAAACGCGGTTTTCCTCTGTCGGACGTTATAACAAGAACAGGGAATTAAAAGTATATTCCCCCTGGCACACTAATTCCAGCCGACATTATAATCCTGTGGAATGTGTAACTTGCAACACGAGTAGCTTGATTCAGGTCAGACAATAACGGTTTGCCCCACGGGACTGTGTTGGGCCGGAGTGATGAGCTGACGTGCCCAAAACGTGCCCGAAAAAGCATCTTGCTCTTCTTCAAGTACCACTAGCGTGGCTTTTCTGTCATACATGACTTGGATTAATGCCCTCTACTTTCGTCATCGTACGCACTGACCTGACACCTAGAATGTTGTTTATTCGACAGCACATCCCCGGTACATGGTATTTCCTGGTGCTGGCGCCATCCGGGTCTTATAGTTGTGTATAGGGATGCGTCAAAATGTAAACAAGACGGTACCAGGGTTCATCCACGTCTGGATCACATATTGAGCTGAGCCCGGAAGTGCAATATCCGAGAAATCATGACCCTCGATACACTGAGGTGGCAACTGAGCGTGACAGTCTTTGTGGCAGTATGGGCATCGTCGTAGCGCGTTCTTGCGTTCATTGTAATAGTTATACCAGAAGAGCACACGGCGTATGAATAGAATTATGATTTAAAATTAAGTGATGCGATGTCCAATTTTTCTTTCAATCCAAGAAGTGCTAATTAGTCATGAATATAACTCCGGGCAACAGCAAAAAAAAAATCCTCTAATTCTTCCACTAGAGATTTTATACCGCTTCTCCTTTTACTGGAAAGTATATGCTTACTCAACTAGATGCCTTCTATCTAGCCTGTTTTTTTGATTTTTTTTTTTAAATAATTTAATATGCTTAATTGTAAAGTTTCTTGTATGGTGAGGGTGTAGTTGTTGGAGTCAACTCCACGCCCTAAGCCATAAACATGGTCGTCCTTTCCGACCGCGGAGGTCGCTCGGGGTAAGCGCTACCAGTGAAGTTGTCCATGCGACTCACTCTTCGAGGCCTCGGAAGGAGAGAGCCATCCTCGTACTCTGGAGGTACTTGTGACAATTCCTTGTCGCCATATGCGAAAGGCTGATCACTGGAGGCCGGATACAACAACGCAAATACAGGCCCCTTCTTATTCATGCCCCTAGACGTGAGAATATCGTAGCGGACACCAAGCTTGCCATTTTCTCTTTCAATGTCTTCTGGTGGCCACTGGCCATAACCCACGCTTGGGGCCTCCATTCCTAGAGTAGTCTCCTGGTCCACTTGACCCATTGGGAATGTGGTCAACTGGTAGATTTGATCAATGCGGAAGAAGGCATATACGACGACTGTCAAGTACCCAAGCATAAACTGCGTAGTGTAAAGCGTGGCTTTGCTGTACTCGCGCAGCATCTCTGACCCTTTCATTCAATAGCTAAAGCATTGTCAACTCCACATCAAACGTCTTGATCAGCAAGTTCCTCAATTCTCCTGCTACTAAACTGTCCACGCCGTATCGTGAAACCGGGTTGTCAGAGTCAAAATCGTCAGCCGCCACACCTGGAAGCTCGGTTATGCGTTTTGTAATAGCTAGACGTGCGGCTGTCGTCTTCTCTGACGGTTTTCAAGCATTTTACCACCATGTCGCAATAGACATGGAGGTCCGAGGAACCCTCTCCAGCTGTGCCGCTTCCTCCGGAAGCAAGCGCCTGCGCCCTATCAGAGATTGTCCGCGCAACCGCCCGGAACCGCGCGTTCCCGTCCACACCAGATTATTAATGCGGCCACTTTCCAGATAGAAAAGGAATCGGGTTGTTTCCAATCCGGTAACTACTTGTGCAAGGCAACTAGAATCTAGCCGAAAAAAGGATGACTTGTCTGCCAAGGAATAAGACTAAGAGAGAGCCCCTTCAAGAAGCTGCAGAAACTCTGTTTCTGACACGCCGTAAAGGGTATTGCACTGGAGCATCTGTTGAAACCCTGCAGAGGCGCTAACAGAGCCGATTTCGAGGATCAAGCCAAGTCCAAGAGCGGTCGCAAGCAAGCATTTTAAGAGGCGCAAACTGGCAAATGTGTCTTGAAACGCGTGTGCGGCGGTGTACGCTCCTTGACTAGGTGTGCCCACGGTTCACACGATAGATGAGGTCATTGAGAAGAAACCAAGAGGCAAGCTCCCGGTGGCATGATGAAGGTTGATAGTACCGGCAACTTTGGGTGCAAGTACACCCGGAATCTGGGACCGAGTAGCATTACTAAAGAGAGCACCCTAAGTTCCGTGTCACTGAAACTTACTCCTTCCACCATAGCGAGATGGATTACTCCGTTGAATTGGCGCAAAAGAGAGAGTTTCTCCCCCAAACAAACAAGTGTTTTTCGAACCGTTACATCGCATCAAAGAACTTCTAGGTAGGCTCCTTCCACAATCAGGTCTTTCATAGGGGAAACGGTTTCGGAATTGCTGCAATACTGCCCGGAAGGTCTTGAATTTCCTGGAGGAATCGCGGGGGCAAAAAATAGAAGTGCGACCAAGCGAAGGGAGTGTAAAGATGGCGTTGAGGAACTTCTCAAAGGAGTCGTGAATAAGATTTAGGCCAGTCTTGAACCAGTGTTGTCTTCAGCGAATCCTTTTAAAAAAGACATATCTTAGGTCAGCACCCACGAGGGGATATTGACATGTGACGTTCGGAATTCGTAGCTCAGCCAAGAGTAGAATCACAGTTACAGCCGTTACGGACGTAGCGAACAAATACTGATGATGTTATAGCTTTCTCTGAAAGACTTTAACTAAAGCTCCAAACATGTTAACTCAGTAGTATTTTTAGATGTGCTGGTAGTAATATGACGGTGGTAGTTGGCAGGGTGCACGACACATAACGCAAAATGTGAGACCAGCTCCTACCCAAATATTTAATTCAAGCGTTTTACTTGGGTGGCGCCCACAGTACGAAAGAGCGGCTCCGCGTATATTCAAGAAGGTCAATTATGTGGTGAAGATATGAGAGCAGTGCTATGCCAATAGCAGAGCAAATAAGCTTGTTTCTGAAGCCACGAAAACGTAGTAAGTCCTAGTATGCTGTGACTTTATATCACGCGCAGTGTTTTGTTATGCTTCAAAGCAGGCATCGCCTACCACCACCTCTCTCGCTTCTTCATTCTTTTTCACGTCTAGTTATCCTATTCTTTGCACCCTAGTGCTCCTTCCGCTCTCACGAAATCGTAGGTGATTGCCGTATCGTCTCCCTGTAGCCTTCTGCGATCCCTCACATAATAGAACAAAACTCTACAAATATTTCAACGAGGGCAATCAAGACCTCTAACATGAACGTGCTATGGCGGCACCATTCGTGAGATGCTGACTGTGAGATGTGTGTACGCTCCTCCAATTACGTCGCATGTTCATCTAGTCCCGTAGCCGTCTTGTGTGGCTGCCCGTCGTGATGGACGATTTTGGGACGAAGGGCCTTTTTCTGAAAGAATAATTGCGACTAATGCTATTGATTCGGGCTTTTTATAAATTCATCATTAAGCATCATATCTCCTCCAGTCTAGCTTACCACTGGCGCGTCAAATGGTCTTGGTTTGGCGCTGTTCCTCTGCAATCTCCGGGCCGGCCGCAAGGTTATTAGGACAGTCCACAACAAGACCAAGGACGCTGCCGCCGTAGAGCAGATCGAAAATGCTAGAGATTCCGTGATTGAAATGGACATGACGGAGCCCAAGTCCAGCATTACAAGCAAAGTCCAAGCCGTCAGCCGAATCGGCTATCTCGTCAACAACGCTGGTTACTCTATCCTGGATCATTGTAAGGACGTCACGTAGGTTTTTTGTTTGATTCGTCCCTCTTCTCTAACGAATTTCTACGAATTAAACAAGGCATTGAGCCGACTCGGAAAGACAAGCGACAACGAAGCCACTCTCCAAATCAACACCAACTTCTTTGGCCCTCTATACACGCTCCAGGCGGCTCTCCAGGGAATGAAAAATCGAAATTTTAGCACTATTTTCAACGTCTTGAGCGTTGCCGCCAGGGATCTGCTAGCTGCGTGCTCTCTGTACGCTACATCTAAAGCCGCGCTCGAGGCCGCATCTGAGTCGCTTGCCAAGGAGGTTGCTCCCCATAACATTCGCGTGCTCATTGTTGAGCCAGGCAACTTCCGTACCAATTTTTCTAGCGCGGTAAGTTTGTGTCTGTAGTAATTCCAGTCGTCGTTTATGCCTGGCGCTATCGCTGTCTGAAATGTTTATACCCGTGGGCCGTTGACAACTAAGTGGGCCAGCCACTAACTTAGTTGTTAACGGGTAGCTGTCATTGGCTGGGCAACTGTCCATGTCTAGTTACGGGCACTGTAAATCGCCAACTCATCTTTGCATCTGATAAATTTCTTCTGCCCCAGCTCTGTAATTTTATCCTGGACATCATCTTCCTCCAACGGAATGCAAGTGTTGGTATGTGACCCTTGCCTCTTGGCTCTCAAGCAGCTTGACACAGTAACACTTGACCACACAGTCAGCAACTAAATGGGCATAAACTAAGTGGCTAGCCCCAGGCCACTCAAGTTGCCGACGGGTACGCTCTGGAGCCACGCTGCATCCTCACGTACCCGCTGACATCACCCTCGGGTACAGAGTACACCGTCCTTGATTTTTATAGTCCCCAATGTCACGGGTAGTCATGAAACGACACGTGTTTTATTACCGCATTTCGTCCTCGGCATCGTCTAGGCTCATTTCATCTTCTCATATCCATGTTACCGCAGGTTATACGGAACGCAATTCGTAGTGCAAATCGCTGCCGCCGTCAGAGACGGAAGGGATCTGTGGGAGAGGCAACAGGATGCCTTTATTAGGATTGGAAAGAATAAGAACATGCCCCCGCTTGTGCTTGGAGAGCCGGAGCGTTTTGGCTACATGATAGAAGACGTCAGCAGGGTTCACGGATTATCCATGGCAGGCAAGATTCGACGTCATGTTGAATAGGGCATATCCGGCTGCTGTTGGAGACACCCTATACCTCTGAGCGAATGCATAGGAGCTCAATACTAGAACTATAATAGCATGTGATGGATTTTTATTTTCTACGAAAAGCGTCTGCAGCAAGAAATAACTCTGATAAAGAAAAGAGAAGAAACGTCTATGGTGAATTTCCGAGATAGGGGTCGATGGTTTTGTTTCCATTCTAGAGCCCCCCTCGGATGCTTGGCATAACACGGGTCTTGCACCAGATGGAAAGGAGTAGCACAGTTAGAGTAAAAAAATATATGCAAATGAGCAAAAAAAAATGGAATACTTAGCAAAGTTAAGAGAGACGGAAGTAGAGTTTCTAACGAAGAGAGACATCAAGAGTCTGGTACTAATATAACATTTAAAGTCTTAGGCAGGCATGCTAATGGCAGCGAGCGCGGGTTGCCATTACTTGGCTGATACGGCAGCAGTGTGTTGGGCATTTATTATTGAATTGAAAAGGTTCTCAGTTCCGTACTGTTGTACTATTTCGCCTAATAATGACATATTTTCTCCATTCTCTTTTATAACTCCTTGTGCTTATATTTTGTGTCCGTGTATACATGGCTTCCGCCGTGTCGCGCCACCCCAACCTTACCTGCTCTGAACCAAGTGCGTGCAACCCACGTGATCTCGGGCGTGCATTTGGGCGCTGAGAGAACAGGCAAGCAAACGAATGGAAGCAAGAGGGGCAAACCATTCCTTGTGGCAAAATCGCAGACCGAAGAACCACCAGAGTGCCAGGATGAGTGCCTTGACTTTACTCTTTGCCTCTCTCGTGGTAAGAATCGAAAAGCCAAGCATCGTTAAAGTAGACCTGACTTGAAACAGGGAGTTTTGGCGCTCTTTGGTGTGGCACTGTTCGTCGAACGGGACTTGAAGTCAATAACAACCTTCGCTAACGAACCATCGTAGATACGAGCACATTCGTTCCACAAGCTTATCGCTGCCAATTTCTCCGGCTCTTACGATTATCACACTTCTACTCCCTCTAGCAGCTGCTGCAAACGCATTCTCATACCCGCGTCTCGCTCGTTCTCATAGCCGCCTGAACCTCCTGGCCCAGGCCTTGCAGGTTGGCCAAGCCATCCTGACCACGGTCTTGGCAACCCTTCTCTTCTCGAACATCCTCCCATCAGCGGCCCGCGACTGCTTGCTATCGACCCTTTGGCAGCGCTTTTTCAGTAGCCACGATGCCAGGTCGATCCGACGGATTCAAGATGCCCTGAATTGCTGTGGCTTCAACACTGTGAGGGACAGAGCCTGGCCTTTCCCAAACCAACATACCGCCCAACAATGCGCGGAAACGTACGGGCGAGACACGGCATGCATCCAGCCTTGGAGGACGGCATTGCAAAGGAACGCTGGTGTTAGTTTTGGAATTGTGCTGTTTATTGGGATCTTTCAGGTATGCGAGCTGCGCCCCGGCTAATACCACCAAGTGCTGCTAACTGACAGGTCCTTTTCTTGTATAGATTGCAAGTTTCTTTCCGTGGCCGTCTTTCACTCTAGCTAGGAGAACGCCACTAAGAGGGCTGGTATCCTATGGAGCCAATACTGAAGAAACAGAGAGGAGCACAGAAAGGACCCGGCTTCTGCCAGCCGCAGTAGGAGGCGCAGGCAATGACAACACTGCGGACGAGGAGCCTGAGCCTAGGCCTCACCAAACAACAGGTAATGGTGATAATGGGCGTGGGGATCGACCGCCACATGTTGGTAACCCTTGGGCCGTTGAATAGGAGGGCGAGTGCAATCATGACGATATTGCATCCGTCTAGGTGTGCCTGAGTTTGCACCTGCAAGTAGGGTTTCCGTGGCTTCACTGGCAACACTTGCTTCATTTACGTAAGAGTAGGACATCCGATTGTAACAACGTCATCAACTTTTCGATACTAAAGAGCTTAGGCCAAGTATAGGAGAGATTGCTCATGGGTAAACATAATTCAGCAAGTTGTGGCGACTAGCCTACTTGTCAGAGGTACTATTAAGAGTTGTGGTACGGGCGAGACCAGTGTTGAAGAAACTGAGGATACATGGCTGGGAGAATCGAAGCGGCCAGCATAAGTGTATACCAAGTTGCAAGACTTCTGGACGGAATTGATGCACCTAAAGGCACTGCAATGCCTGAGAATAAATATTGAAGCTTATTTGGGTGATTCCCAATGTCAGGTTGGTTGAGCGGCGTCAGATATTCAATTTTACCCATAATAACAACCTCTGCGGGAAGCTAAATAAACATTTAGGATGAATTAGTGCTATCCCTAGTTCGAACTACCAGAGCAGTATATAAGGGGAGGCGATAGATAGCAGGTAACCTCTAGTTCTCTTGGTAATTATCCTGAGTGACTGTTGGCGCGTCATGCTGGAGTTCCAGACACAACCTATGTATGGAATAGCGGCCTCTGTATCGTCGAATGTGCCAAGTACGTACCGTCGATAAAATTCGAGGTTATCCCTTATTAACTACCATTCTCGTCGTCTGCAACCGCGCACAATGAGAGTACCCAGTTGAGGACACGCGTTGATTCCACTTGCGCGTAGAGGCTGTCACTCAAAAATCACTGTTCCAGCCCCCCTTGCAAAATGCTAGGTCCTGATAGGTTGCAGTTTGTCTACTCAGTCAATTGTCTGCTTTCGATTAGCATAATAATAAAAAATGCACCACTTCAGCAGGTGTGTTTGCAGCCAACAATTCAGTTGACCAGCTGGCGTACCTATCAACCAAAAAGCAAAGGAAGACTACACTTACTAGTTTTTGAGCTCCGTAAGCATGGATGCGATTTGAACCTTTGTAATCTAACCTAGCAGCAGAAGAAGATGCCAAGTATCGCTAGGGAGAATGATGGCTGTGATGTCTATTTCTTTATTCACTTCGATGCCGGGAAGAGACACGGGTTATCCAGATCCCAATTAAACTGTGGGTTTACAAGGCATTGGGCCTTTTTCGTAGTGGTCGTGAAAGAAAGTCTGTCCCTAATACCCGTATTAGAATCGGTTTTGCAGGGTTTAGTCTTGGTAGACTTGCTAGGGTTCCAACCAGCTGTAAAATTCTAAAACCTAGCAGCTTTGACATTGGCTATGCAGGTCTATACATTGGTAATATAAATCACGATATTTGATGCTTCTGATACTTACGAGGGATTGGAAGCCCAGAGGAAGCTCAAGGCGAATGTTTAAGCCTAAGCAAGACAATTGTACAATGCAGTTTTCGCCGAACGGCTAAATGTCTTATAGAGCCCAAATAAACGCAGGAAAATATAACCTCCACCCAGGTGATTGACTGTATCTAGTGCATATAATAGTTGCTTCTAAACATAGTGCTGTAGTCTAATCTAATTTTCAAGCGGACCTACCGCGAGATTTCTGCACCGTCGCACTGGTTGGGGCCTTCTGCATGCTCCCAACCTGGGACGTGGATATTGTAGAATTTACCGTTGGCGTCCACAATTGCCGACAAGATCAAATCATTCAAGGCCTGAGCACGAGTTGCAACATCCAAGTCTGCGTTTTCAGAGCCCATAACGATTCGAAGCCACTGTATTCCAGGTATTAATATCGTTCTCTGCTTTGAATCTTCAGTTCAAATTATAACTTACTCCCGGAGAAACAGCTACAACGGTAAATCCTTCCTTTCGTAATCAATAGCGTACTGGACGGACAACATATTCATCGCAGCCTTTGTAGTTTTATACGCTGGCACAGGCAGCCATGTGTACCTCTTCGCATAGCCAATAGAACCGTGAGGGGCGAGCTAGGCAAAGTTAGGTACTTCTTCTAAAGAAGCTGGTCTAGTTGACTTGAATCATTAATATCTTCTTTCCGCTGCCCTTCTGCAACAGAGAATTAATGCCGCAGGAATGCGGTGCGCACTAACGACGTTGACATCGGAAGCAGTCAGCAACTGTTGTCCATCCATGGCATGAACTCCAGCTTCCGTGTATGGCATTACCTTGAATAACTGTTAGCGCGTAATGAACACGAGTCAAGGGCTAACTACATCGACATTGTTGATAAAAATGGCGAGTCCTTTGCCGGCAAGTTTAGTCTTAATAACAGTGGCTGGTTGCTTCACTGAATTCTCGTTGGTAATCTCACCATGGACTTGCATAATGCGGACGACGGAGCTAGAGACTAGCTCGTCTAAGAGTTGGGAGGGACTTCTAGCTGTTACTAGGATAAAGGAAGCTCGTGATTCTGGTAGCTGCACTAGCTGCCTTACGAGTTCAAGAGTTCAAGTCCGATGCCGCTGCCACCGCCCGTAACCAGAACAGTCGACATTTTGTTTCTTGAAAGAGATGTAGTATAACAGGAAGGAAGGGTACGACGGAAGAGTCGAGGCCAATCTAAGCACAAAAGTAGACAACGAGTTTATGGAAGCTGTCGAGGCGGGCTATCAATCCTTCCAGGTGCAGCCGGATTCCGAGGCCAACACCGCTGTGCCACACATGGCCTGGGGGATGGACATGGAGCAGTTCCTCGTCGAGCCATATCTATCCATGCTCGGACCTAACGTCAAGTGGCAGCGGCACGGGGCGGTCGGACGACATGCCTTGGGTTCACTCGGCGGCGATGCAGCATGTAACTCATCAAGGCGCGCTATGGCATTCCGGAATAGTCTAATGAAGCGCGGCAACGTATGTATGTGAACCGCTATCATACACATTCCAAACAAGCTCTACTTCCATTTGGCTCGTTTCTCATGCCATCTTCTCACACGCCTTCGACCGGCGACGCTCCAAAAAGCAGAAGATCAAAGCCACAACTACGCCCAAGCCGGATAGACCGATGCCCGTGTAAAAAGCCCCATGATAACCTCGAAGAACGTCCTTCCCTCCGTCACTTACCTGCGAATCGACCGTGCCGGCGAACCCGAGCCCGGTGGAGATGGAGTAGTTGACAAATTTGTTGACCAGCGACGCGGCGAGGTCCTGGTGCCGCCGCGGCATGACCCGACTCAGGACGATGGTGGCGGCGGG